TTGGGGCAAAGAGGAAAATCCCTCCATCCTCACAGAGGATCAGTCGAAAAGACCCAGATGTTGATTGACTACAAGTGCTACCAAGTGCAGCGTTGCTGCCGTAGCTTTGCGCTTGAGGAAGCGTCTTTAGGCCACCGACCTTTCGTTCTTTACAAGAACCAAGTAGTAGTGCAGCGGATTGCAATCCGCTGCCTCTAAAAGTACTCAAAAGCCTTAACCAAGGCAAACAAACACTTCTGTTCAAAATTGAAACTGATTTTTATTTATATTTTTATCCCAATGCTGAAAATTTTAGATTTTCCTGAATATACTTTTTATATAGTAAAAATCTAAATACATCCATAACTTCTGGCTACCTAGCCCCGCCCCGTACTTTTGTTTGGGTGTGTGGCCACATTATACACATCTCGTGTGACACGCGCACATCCCTGTTATTAGGGTTTGCGTTACCCCGTTACGTTCGGTCTTAGACCCTCGTGTGGAATACGGCTTCCGCTCGGCGGATCCCGCTACTGAAGCAAAAGACGCAATCACTTGATCGTAAGGCGTCTACGTAGTCGGGCCCCCGGCCACTACACAAGCTGAGTTTGATCAGCGGAAAGCTCTGCGAGCTCGCTTTTTCGTACCCAAAGGATCCCAATGGATGGGTACCGCGCTCGACTTCGGGCTCATAAAAGAGGTGCTCCTGTTTCCGCGATGCGGACCAATCCTGTGGTGCTCGCCCTTGGCAAAACCCACTGCTGATGACGATAAGCTCTTTAAGCGTTAAGTGTAACGGCTCTGGAAACTTTCTTCGTTGTCTACCTTACAGCGAAGCCACAAGGAAGTGGACGTGCACGCTGAGCGTCATCTTAGATTTGAGCGAGATTCAAGGTGCAATGCCGAATTCATGCTTATGTCGCCCTGCGACACCTGGAACAATCCATAACGCTCCTGCGAGCTCTGTGTTTTCTCACATGTGTGAGTCTACGACCACATCAGCTCAAGGCCATAACTTGAGCTCAGCTCGTGGGCCTCCGGCTTCCCGGGCTACTACTGAGAAGCGCGGTGCACAAGACGACGCGAAGCGTCATTATCCTTCTGATCACAAGAGTCTACGACGTCTGGGCATCTTTGCCGAAGTGGCACCTCAAAAACCCACGGTTCTCGGAGTTTGAGTATCTCTGCTACTTCACAATATTTTGGGTTAAATCCCATCGACGACGTCGACCCACAAGGCGTTCCACGTGGTACTGGACGTCACCACTCTCATCGAAAAGAGTTGGCGGAGGGCGATGACGACTTGGTCGATCGCTGTCAGGCGATTCGCGATGCTTTTCGAGCGTTGGAGAACAAAGTCCGTCGTCATCGGCACTCAGCCGAGCATCTCTCCGAGGCCACCTACCCCTCTGCGGAAGACCTCGAGAGTCTGGAGCGCTTTGTGCACCGACTGCCTCGCGTTGGGAATTATCGTGCTCTGTCGGAGCGGTTCCTAGCCGTCGAGCAGGCAAATACGTCATTTCGTGCGACGGTGGAGCGCCTTGCGCCGTCCGTTGAAAACAGAAGTTGTAGCACTCCGTGCTCAAAACCAGTTGGTGGTTCAGCTTCTGGGTGCCCAAGCGCCTATTGGCGCCGCCCTGACGCCAACGCTTCCGCGTTCTCTTGCGCCGGATCCCGGTACTGCTTAAGCAAGCCCAAATAAAACACCGGTGGGTGCGCATCCATCTGGGAAGGCCCAGCGTACGCTAGGCTTTGCTTGGCCACGACATTAACAGGTCTAATAAACCGTAGACGGAGCTTCGTCTCAAAGTCAGCAGAAACTGTATGTGTAGGAAGGTTTGAGCGTTAAATAGAATTAGGTCTCCGACCTCAATGTTCTCAACATTTTTTCTTCCTTTTCCGTCTACATATGCATGTCTTGGCTTTCTACCATCGCTTCGCAAACGTTGTAAGACACTCAGTATGGTAGACAGGAAGTCTCTGACTTCTTTACGCACGGTGAGGGAACTAGCCGTTTGGCTATTCCTCCCCCACCAAGCCCTGAGCCATGGGATGGCGGCGAGACACATGGACATATAATCCCGTTCACGTAGAACGGCGTATAGCCGGTAGATGATTGCACTGCATTGTGCAGAGCAAAGTGAGTGACAATATAGCGCTCTAGCGCTTCGGTGTCTCAGCGCAGACGCTGCGGAGATCGTCTTCAACGACGCGATTTACGCGCTCAGTCTGACCATTGGTCTGCGGATGGTCCGCTGTTGACATAGTCAACTTGGTGTCCAGCACTTTGAAGATTGTAGACCAAAACTTCCCAGTGATGCGTGGGTCTCTGCCAGAGACAATTGACTTCAGGCGTCCATGTTGTCGAAAAACACGATCCACAAACTGCGTCGCTGTATCCACACCATCGATGGTGTTCGAAACTGCCGCAAGATGAGCCATCTTGCTCAAACGGTCCACAAACACCACCACACCCTTGTTGCTCGCCGAATTCTTTGAAAGACCAAACACAATAGCTTTACTCATGGATTGCCAACACCCGGAGGGTACCGATAAACTGGCCAGCGGCACCGCCGCATTCGGAGTGGGGTTATACCCTCTGACACTTCTCACACGTGCGCACAAAGGTGCTCGTCCATTTGAACAGCGTGGGCCACCAGTAGTAGCAACTCACAGAGTTGCAGGTCTTATCACAACCAAGGTTACCACTGAGTGGCGTGTTGTGCGACTCATAAAGGATGCGGTATTTCAAATCCTCATCATGACGAACCACAATTCGTGGTGTATCCGTTGAATCGGTGCTATACAACAGTAATCCATTATTCGGTGAATATTGGTGCAACCGCACACACAGTCGCGACGACAACTTCTAGTCCGAGTTCCAAACTCCTTCCTCCCGAGAGCTTGTAATAGCGCTGCGCAAATATCATCACCCGCGTACGCGGCACGGATCAAATTCGTCACTGACGACACACCGTCATTACATGAATAAACTCATAATCTGGTCTGCGTGACAATGCATCAGCCAAAGCATTCTGCTTTCCTGGCTCATACTTCACCTCGAAGTTATATTCTGCGAAGAAAAAGAGCCACCTGGCTATCCTCTGCGAAGACTGAGTCGCAGTTCATAGTGATGCATGATCTGTGTTGATCACGAACGGCTTGGGGCCAAGCATGTGAATTCTGAACTTGACAAGTGCATACTTCATCGCAAGTAATTTCTTGTCATGAACTGGATAGTTTCTCTCCGCAGCCTTAAGCTGGCGAGATTCCAACGCGCTCACCCGATCTCACCCCTCGTCGTCTGCTTGCAGCCGATGGCAAAGTCCGAAACGTCAAAGACGACACTAAAAGAACGATTAAGGTATGGTAACGCCAGTATTGGTGCATGAAAGAGGCTGCCTTTGACCCTATCAAAAGCCTCCCGATGCTCGGTGTCCCGACAGCATTCCTTACCTTCTCAAAGAGTTTCGACAATGGTCGGGTCATTCCGCGTAGTTCTCACTTTACTTGTGCAAGTAGTTGACGAGGCCAAGCTACTTGCGCAAGTCCATTTGATTCTTTGGAGCCGGCCAGTCCACAGCGGCCTTGACCTTAGCGCTCGAAGGCCACGCTTCCCAATGAAGCACCCTAAAAAGGGAAAATCCTCCGCGCCGAAGATGCGCTTATCTGCATGAACATACAGTTTATTCGTGCGCATGAACTCGAGTACCGCTCTCAAATAGACGATGTGGTTTTCCTCATCTGTCTACTTGCGCCACGCGCCTGAGGACGAAGTTGTCGTCGAAGTATGTCTGGGCATACGCCCGGTGGGGCCCGTCACAAGACGAGCAAATGTTGCTGGTGCATTTGACAGCTCTTGGGCCATCACCAGACACTCCCACAGCTTGCCGCACGGAGTACTCGCCGCTGTCACTCGCTCTAATGAGCAATTGGTAATACCCATCGACCAAATCGAGTGCACTGTACTTTGTACAACCAACCATGTTGTTCTGACGAACATCCTTCCGAGAAAAATTCGGCGTCTGTGCTGGAATGGTGGCAGTGTTGAGCTTATTGTAAGTGTGAACGATGCGCCACTTGCCGTTTGGTTTCCGGACACAAAATGTGTGTGTCAAATTAAAAGACTTGCCCTAGCGCAACATTCCTGCGTCGTACTTTGCACGGAAAAAGGCGTCAATGACGTCGCACTGCTCCTAGGACAGGGGCCATTGGCGTGTTACGCAGTACTTGGCTCCTAGAACCAGGTCGATCTCATGACGCACACCTCGGTCCGGAGGTAGGACCGACGGTGGGTCTTTGGAGACGACGTCTTGAATTTTTTTTACCAAAGGATAATAGGGATCCAAGGAATCCTTCAGGATCGACGACCACTTCGTGCGTTCAACACCTATTCAGTGTCCTCCAGGACAGCTTCATCCAGAAGCGACGACAAGTTAATCTCCTCGTTTGGT